CCAATTTTCCAAATTTTCCGAATCTTTTACCAAACAAAGTCCATCGGGGATTTTTAGGCGATCTTGCCGAGGTTTTGATTCTGGTTCTGGACGAAAGTTGGGAAAAAGCTGAAATACTAGATTATCGATAAAGTTAAAGATAACGAATTAACTAATAACTCTGGTCGATAAACTAATAAATTCCAAATCACTAAACTTAAAGCGATTGGGTATATGTTATTCGCGGTTTAGAATACCAAAGGAGGTAGCTGTAAGGCATAAGGCCCTATCCTGGCGGCAATGGGATACGTGTCGGTGTAGCTCATTGGTAGAGCGCTCGCCCGGTTCGAATCATGGCGCCGACCATGTTTTGTATTCCCAGCCCCAACCCATAAAAAGGACCGACGTCTCCAAAGCACAAACCTCTTTTAAACCTTTCGTTTTTATCCAATCCCATTTCAGCATCATAACGCTTTTCCAAATCAATTTTTCAGAAGAACACCTAAAAGTGACATTTGACCTGAAAATTTAGCTTCCAGTACTTCAATACAAGATCAGTAAAGTAGCTTAACGTTCGGACAAATTGTTGGAGTAAAAATTAGATCACTTGGGAGATCTCTAAAATAGATCTCTTGTTTTCGACAAGTTTGAAATGGTCAACTACTTTCTTTCGATGAGCTCCCAAAGGGTCAATCCGGCTCCGAAGACATCACACTTTTGAACCTCCTGTAAAGCTGATCAGATAAAGTAAAAGCTAAAATAAATTATAGTCGAATTTCTAGGTTTTAAATCTTGCTCAAGTGAATTTTAAGTTCAAATTTTATTTTGTAAAATAAAAAATGAGCACACAGTTAACGAATTAGCCAAAAAAAATTGTTCATCAGGCTACTTTTCTTTGAAAAAATCTTAGTATTAAGTTTAAAATTTAGATTCGAACTTTATAACTTTGTAGCTTAGATTTCGAGCTTAGATAGCTTTAGATTTCGAACTTTGGAAAGTCAAAAAGCTAGTTAAACTTGACTTTCGGGTAAAAAAAAGCGTTAATTGAAAAACTTCTTTGTTTGTCACAATATAAACTTTAATTACCTTAAAAGACAAATTTATTCCCAGCGAAATCTCGGGTGCCATGTATTTGGGTGTACCCGCAAAAGTATTCATATCATTCCCATCAAATCGTTTGATCACCCCAAAATCGCCAAGTTTCAGCGTGAAGTCTTGAGTCACAAAAATACTAAACCGTTTTATTGTTAAAATTTTCACAAATCTCATAATTACTTATCCGGTTTTATATCACGATGAGCGATTGCGATAAGATCGGATTTGAGATAGACGAGCGCCGAGAAAATCTCCTCCGCCCATTTCACAATAGACGCCACCGAGTAATTGATTGTTGAGTTTTTAATCACTGAAATCAATCAATACTGGTTCCTTTTCGAATTTCAATTGTACTTTCAATTGAACTTTCAATTGTACTTTTAATTGTACTCTTAATTGTACTCTTAATTGTACTTTCAATTAGTATTAGTTTACATTCACAGTTTAAATTCTATGATAAACTATTGGTTAACAAACTATTGTTGTTAATTTGTTGAACTAACCATTTCTCAACGATCCTCGCTCACAATATTCCATAAAAATTAGATATTTCCCCGGTTTCTGTGGAAAGTCATGCGGTCGATCCTTGTATTTCACAATATTTCGGTGAACGACTTTCTTGAGAATTCTCATTTCTTTGTGCTGATCTTCTTGATTCGGCTCTCGGAAAAGCTCCTTCATTACGAGTTGTCTGTAATGAAAATGAAGCAAATTCAAAAATACAATTAATTAATAAAAATCTGTACCGTATTTATTCTAATAGAAGCGCATGCGTTTCTATTTTTCAATTAATCCACAAAATTACTTCTATTAGAGGCTGCGTTTCTATTTTTCGATGATTTAAAAAAATTGATGAAATAGTTCGTAGAAAGTAGAAAGAAAACATTAAAAATTCGATTATTTTATCCATTTATTTATTAAATATAACAGAAAAAATTACCATTAAACCATTAAAAATAACCATTAAAAACAATTCAATCGTCAAAAAAGATATTGGTATAGGCGTTTTCTTTGCGAATCCCATTGAGAAACATCACATGATTGACCAAAACATCGGCTTATTTCCAAGGTTTTTTTGGTAGATCAACGTTTTACCTCTTAGAATTTTTGCTAAAGGATCAGGTACTAAAATATAAAACGTCAAAATGTTTAAAGTTATGAGAATTTTAAGGCATAAATTAACTTAAAGGGGTAGTCCGGCCTAAAAGTTGTCTTTCAATAATCGCGCTCATTTATACATTATTCAATGCGTTTTATTCTTCTCTACAACTATTTCCTATATGAAAAACAAAGTTTCCAATCGAGAAATGAAGAAAAAGGCAATTTTTGCTTTCCGCCTTACCCTAAAACGTGGATATTTGGGCAAAAAGTATATAAAAGTTCCGTCCAATTGCATTTTAGCACTTGCGGAAGGTGGCTACTTTGAGATTTTTTGCGCAACTAAGTCATTTGCGCAATTTTTTGCCCAACTAGGTCATTTGCGCAACTAGGTCATTTGTGCAACTAGGTCATTTGCGCAACTAGGTCATTTGTGCAACTAGGTCATTTGCGCAACTAGGTCATTTGTGCAACTAGGTCATTTGCGCAACTCGCCATAACTTTCTTCTAAGTGGGCCAATCTTTATGATTTTGGTGTCATTTTGTAGATCTCAACAAGTGCAACAAAATGACACCAAAAGCATAAAGATTGGCCGACTTAGAAGAAAGTTATGGCGAGTTGTGCAAAAAATTTGGCGCCAAGTAGCCACCGCCGCATTTGCGTTCTTTTCTTTTGCATGTATTTTCTCAAATTTAGCAACAATCTTAAATCTTTCTTGTTTTTTTAATAGAAAACATTACATTCTAAAAGAATATTTTAAAAGGTGAAAATCGGGCGTAAGAAAACGTGAAAAACAAGCGTCCAATTGAACACTGACTTTTCTTAGACCGGAGTACCCCTTTAAGACGGAATTGAATTGCCTAGGTACCAAAATTCTAAATTCTAAATTCGATCCAAAAAAGCTGATTACTTAATTGCGAGAAAAACTTATCAAAATTGCCATCGCTTATGCAAAATAAATGATAAAGAATGCAATTTTTCTCAAGGAAATATATTATATATCATTAAAGGCTCAAAACTTAGGGTATTCAGTCTACTAAGCTGAATATCCATCGTTGTTTCTTCTATCAGAAGGCTGGACTTCTATTTTTTTAATCATTCCACAAAATTGCTTCTATTAGAATAAATACGGTATCTCTAACATACAGTTGATCCTTTTTGAATTTTAAATGTCGTCCCAAAACCACCACTTTCGAGTGAGCAGCTTTCCCAGCCATTTAGAGAATCCATTTTCAATAAACGATTAGGAATTTTCAGTTCAGGTATTTTGAAAATTTGAAAAGCAATCAGTTTAAGAAATGAATTTTATCGCCATTTTATGACGGTTATATGCAGAAAAGGAGCAAAGGAAACGGCTGCTTTACATTGCGCAATTTAAATATGGCAAAAGCCTCTTTGCACTTTCAGTGTTTCTCAAAACGAATCAAAGTGAAAAATCGATAAAATAAGGCAAAGAGATTTGGTGAGATCATCGTCACAAAATATTCCTTTGTCAAATATTTCGTTGATTGCAGTTTCCGGATACCATTTTGCGAAATGTTCACAGAGGAAATTGTGCGAATGTTTGGTGAAGAAGAACTCTTGAAGAACTACCTTATCGATGTTGCCTGAGAAATACTGTTGATGGAAATATTGATCGATCGATGCAATGAACTTTCTTTTGTTTTCTCTTCTCAAACCGATCTCCAGCAATTTCCCATTTAACTCGTTTCTCAAATTTTCGATGTGCCGAGTTTCTGGGACGACGAGGAGCTCCGTGCTGGAAATGCTAAGGCTCGATTTGACTGAAGTTGTAAAATTCTTTGTAGAAAGAACGGACTATCTTTGGCATACAAATCCGTTATGCAAAGAATGTCGATTTTTGTGGGTAAAAGTGTGAATTGATCGATCGAACGCAGCAAACTCATTTGCCCCATTTAGCCAAAACGCTGACAAGTGTAACCGATCAAAATTGAACTTCAAGCAATCATTTCGTCGTGAAATTCTCTCGGTCACCCAAATGGCCAATATCATGGATATTTTCGGCTTACGCATTACGCGGCCGCAACTTTGGTATGCGGGAATGAGACTGCAGATTATGGAATCCCGGAAGGCTACGACGATTTCTGGATGGATTTCAAGCAAGATATTTCGTATTTGGTTTCAAGTTATGGTCTAAAAGGGATTGATGGTGGTGCATTATTGCCGTGTCAGTCGTTTCGTAAAAGATGCGCGGTCGTCAATGTGTTAATGCTAAAAAGGAAACACACTTACCAATACGGCCAACGTTAACAACTTTAAGTTACTTTTTCAAAATTATTGCCTTTTGCGCTGTTGCTTGCCTAGAAACACCTGTGGAGAGCCGACTGTGCCGGATTTGAGGGTGTCTTCCTAATATATCATTTACGTTTTATGGAGTTTGTTGGCTTAAATTTAAGGCTGGATTCGGATTTTAAAGTCTTTTTAAGTCCTCATGTTCAAATTTCTGGGATTTGGTTATATATTTTGATCTCTGGTCCAAATCGGCCGCTTCGCAAAAAGATGCGCGGTCGTTAATGTGTTAAAATAAAATAGAATTATCTACCCAAGGACTGGAGATGTTTGGAGCCATGTCTGCTTCCAGTTTTGGCTGAAAATTTTTGAATACCTTTGTTATTTGATCATTTAAAAATATAGACTACACAACTACGAAAAAGTGGCCAAAATTTGCTCACAGATCAGCGAAAATCGAGATGAGTGGCTTAAAAAGGGTCAAAAAACGAGTAATCCGCTTTTGAATGGGGAAAATTGGAACATGTGTACCGCAATTTTTGAGCTTTCCATTTTGAAAGCTACACAATTGTCAAAAATGCATCGACTCTTTATATTTTGCTGTTTCTTGCAAGGTTAGAAAAGTTAGAGATTTTCTGTTAAACATTTACATATATTGCCGCCATGGTCGACCGTTAGGAGTTTTGAATCTTAGTCGAGACGTCAAGGGAGTTCGTTCCTAGGAGTAAACGGATATGGACTAGAATTTGGGTTAAGTTAAAGAGAGTGGATCCTTTTGATATCCCACCATCTCTAACACCCCGACAACCCAACTGAACTCCTCCAATATTAGAGGGGAGTCCCTGTGAAATGACCGACCTGAACTTGACCTGAAGACCTGAAGTTGCATAGATCCGGAAGATATTTATCTTTATTTACAGTAGTACGATAAGACGAATAGATTACAAATGAGTGTAAGGGGAAGGGGGACTCGAAGTGAGAGCCTCACTTGTCCTCGTAGGCAATCCCAAGGACCTCGATGAAACTTCCATCCCAGGTAATCCCAAGGACTTCTCGGCGATGAAAGGGATAAGCACAGGGAAGAACACATTTACATAAGAATAGACAAATCATTCAATAATAACAATAGTAACTAAAATATCAGTTTGGCTCCGGAGCTGACAAGGGTTCGATCGGCTAGATTATTGATTCTTTTTTCTCATATAATATATATGGGTTTTTTCTTCCCTAATTTTAGGATTTTAAAAGAATACCCGGTGAAAGATATTCAAAATTCAAAAGATTTAAGTGAGCAAATAAATTTCAGTCTCTTCTTCTTATGTGATATTCAATGGAACAGTTCGGGCTCAAATTATCAATGTTTGTTTATGAAAAGTTTTATTCTAAATTCTTGTTTAGCTTCACAACACTTTCCGCTCAAATCTAGCTTTTGGTAAACAAGTTTGGATTGGGAAAAGCAAAAACTATCCGAATGCGAGTAGAATGTTTTGGCTGGTAAGTGTGGTTTGTAAAGAATTGTAGCGAGAATTATTGACTTTTTTTTGATATAATAAAATTGAATCTAGCATTCCACAGATCGTTCTTGTATGTAAAGTGCAAATTTCTAAGCTTCATATAAGCTTCATATAAGCTTCATATAAGCTAATATCCAAAAGGTAACGGATTTTAGAAATGGGACGATGCATTGGCAACGTCAGCTGGGAAAAGAGCCGCCTCAAAGGTGATTCAAAATAATGAAGGGGAAACTGACGGCTGCAATCCCGGCTGGAGTCGGTGAGAATCATTATGGAGTCGAGTTTGCATCGGTTGGCACAAATCTTCCACCAACGTCAATGTGTGAGTTTTATTTGTTTAAAGTTGTAAATCTATACAAAAGTGTGACTGTTTGGGGGCAAAAAGGCAAAAATGTCGAGTTAAACTAGGAGATGATTGAAAAAAAAGTTAGACGAAATTATGTCATATGCAAAAGTCGAGTAAAGATCTGTTTTCTAGTCCAAAAAGCCTGGCAGGATTGGAACAGTTACTGGATGATTTTTGGTCTTCCTTCATTGACTTACACTCCATCAACCGATCCGATAAACGATCATGACAAGGAGTCTTCCTATCAGGTACTCTAATAACACTAGACTAATAAAAATGGCCTTGTTCTGAACAAGATCAGTATAAATTTTCGGTGCTATACGGTAGACTTTTAACAAAAACATCTGTCGGTTCTTTTTTTGCCGTTGACAATTAAAGATTTTTCGTGTTTTTCTCAGCACCAACCCTTTGATTTTCACTATTTTGATTATCGTTCGATGCAGAATAAAATTGCACGTGGAATGATACCAAAATTAACTTAAAAAATAATATCCATGCAAAGTTGTTGGCTAAAAACCTAAACCCCACCCATTATGGACGGAACTTAACCTTTCATAGAAAAAACACCAGTTTAGCTGTTTACCGGGAACACCTACGCGGTCGGTTGTGCTTATCAAATCGTGACACCAAATCTGGGTGGATATGTGGTCGTTTGTCACTACAGGAACAAGTTAGTAAATGCAAAACCTACTGCAAAACGAAACAAAACCTAGAGTAAGTAATAGTTTGTGTACGGTATTTTGTAAATGACAAATTGGTTCCTTACCTCAAACCAGCGGTGAATCGCATAAAAGCAATGAAAATCTAGAAACAATGGTCTGCTTACCGAACTCGTACTCGTTATTTTACATCTACAAAACATTTCCAGAGGTTTAAACGCAAACACGCCCGTCTACGTGGTCGGCACAACGTGTTCTCAATGCCCGGCTGCCACATCGACTTGCAATGCTGTCAAGGGACTCTGTGTGATGAATTAAATTGTTCTTTTTGCATAATTAAAATGATTAAGCAATCAATAGATTAATTTCGCTTTTCAACTTACACTCAGCATGAGACAGACAAATGATTTTTCCGGATGGGAGCCTGCAGTCAATACTACCACCAGCACAGTCAAAAGTTCCTGAAAATCAGCTATTTTTTAAGAATTTTGACGACTTTTGACGAGTTAGGCAATGGTATGGGTAATTTGGAAGATTAGGTATAGAGATTTTAAGAGTATCATAACTTTGAGACTTTGAGAATCATAATTTTCGAATGAAACCAACAATTATTAACCATCGGACCAAGGATTGAGATTAATGAATGTTTTGAACCATATTTTAGAAAATGATGTTAGAAAATGTGTGAATTATTATTTTATTCAATCACGCACACGAGCTGTGCTACTTGAAGTTTAAACTCACACGGTGTCGTCGTCCAAAGTGACTTCCTCGTCGTCACCTCGCAAATCACAGTCATCATCAACACAACGAACACGAAAACGCATTTTGTTCGAATGTTTTATAAATCAGAAATAGATATCAGAAATAATGGATATCAGAAATAGATATCAGAAATAGATAACTCGTCAAAATTCTTAAAACATAGCTGATTTTCGGTTTTGCAAGTGTTCAATATCAAATACAGTTAGAGTAATGCGTTTTCTGAAAGGTGACTAAATTGTAGAACTACCGTACATCAACAGTTTTATCTAAAGTTTTCAAATTTATTAAACCAAACATGAATAGAGGAAAGATTACTTTAGTTTTTCAATTTGGGCACCTTTTCGAAAATCGTGAGAGACAATAAAATGAAAAAACAATTAGAGATTCCTATTTTTCCGTATTACGGTAATTTTCATTTTAGAACTGAAGCATGGATTCAAATTGGCAATTTTCCAAAAGAAAGAGGAAGAAATATTCGAAAAAAATGAGTTAATCGTAGGCTAAACTTTTTCTACTTTTTAAATAAGAAAAATAGCTAAAATTGGGCAAAAGGGAGTTGAAATTGTGTCCAATAGCAACGAAATGAGCAGTTAGAGTTAATTAACTCTAACTGCTCACCGTTAATTCTAAATTTCACTCTCGATCCCTTCTTCACAAAGCTCAGATGAGTTTGGGTTAAATGGTTTAAATTTGAATATAAATATTCAACATTCAAAAATGAGATTCCACCATTTAATCGCTTTTCTTGTCTTCTTTGCCTTATTCAGTCCGAATACGAGTAAACAATCGCGTGGAATTGTTGCAACAACAAGTCGAGTAAGTATAGCGTAAGAATTTGTCATGTAAAAGTTGAGTTTTAACAAGTTTTGGGTTATGTCAATTGAATCCTTTACTTGGCTCTTTTATAAGAACTTGAAGGGGTACTAGTAAAAGCAGATTTTAGCAAGTTCGATAGAGCACTGAATAAAGTACTGACAATAAGGTCTCACAAGGGAAAGATATCATTGCCAGTTGACGTAGAATTGTTGCAACAACAAGTCGAGTAAGTAAAGCGTAAGACTTTGTCAAGTAAAGTTGAGTTTTAACAAGTTTTGGGTTATGTCAATTGAATCCTTTACTTGGCTCTTTTACAAGAACTTGAAGGGACACTAGTAAAGTACATTTTAACAAGTCCGATAGAGTACTGAGCAAAGTACTGAAAATAAAGCCTCATAGGGGAAAGACATCATTGCCAGTTGACGTTGAGAATTGAATTTGAACGTCAGGCCTGTGACGAGTCACCAAAAAGCTACCGCATTATAATAAGACACTAAAAATACCGTACCCTAAACAATGTCGCGTATAAAAAGGACTCCTTCTTTCCTATTTAGTCAGAATTTTCTCTCTTTTGTCTTGTGAAAGTTGTCTTCTTTTTTTCGAGATACTTTCACAATTTTCATCAAAGTGATTCATTTTTCTCTCTGGGTTAGTGCAAATGGTTGTCGATTGGCTTCTGATCAACAATAAACATTTTTGCAAGCTCCTTGCAAACATCGCGCAAGTACACCTCCTTGTTACAGGGTTTGTGCTCGAAGTTCAAAACGCGTATTATTCAAAACGCGTATTTTCCTCAACGTAATAGTAGCCTAATCTGTTTTCCCAACGGAAATTTGTTAGAATAATTCAAAAAGGCGTTTTATTGTAAAATGTAAAAGAATTCTTGAGAGCACCTGTGAATGAAGTAGATCATTTCATTGCCATTTTGAGTGGCCTTATCACTATTCTCTTTCAGACAGTTCCATGGGTTTTTGTGGATCGTTTCTGTTTCTTTATCGACCAGGGTACACTCACTTTCACTATCAAATACCCAAAGGTGGGTTTGACTTGGTAAAAGAAACAAATCACTTTTAGAAAATTGGCAATCAGAGCCTTATTCTCTACTTTGACACTCCAGAACAATGGGATTCGGTTTATCAAACGGGATTAACGGTGAATCAACAATTGTTACAGTTTCACTAAAATTTTTCAGTGTGAGCGGCGTGTCGCAGCAGCGGTGCCTTCAAACAATCAAATTGTGAGTTCGGACGTTTTCAAAAACGTATCAACTTTTAAATCTATCGTAAACTGGCTGGCTGGCTTTTTGCCCTTACAAACTGGCTGGCTTTTTGCCCTTACATTTCACATTTATAAAGATTTCAAAAATTCTATAGATTAGATGAAAGTTAGAACGAAAATTACGGTAATTTCAGAAAGTTGGCACCTTTCAGAAACTGCTTCAGGAAAACTATTGTAATCCGTCATCTTATTGCCTTATAATTGAAGACTAGACAAAATTAGAGACAGGATTACTGCAGTTTTCTAAGATGTTTTGAAAGAGCTTCAGAAAAAGCTAATGTTATCATTTCGTCATCTCTGTATCTGTCATAGAGCTTCTAAATCTTGACTTTAGCCATGTTCGGGTTTAAAAATAAAGCCGTCTATTTGCTAAACTAAATACTCAAAAGCCTGGGCTTCTTCACTTTTAATGTTTTAAACAAGTTTAGTATCACTTTATAAGGCACATTTGTTCTCACCCGTCGATCCCTTAATTCAACCTTTAATGGAATGTCATCCCCGAAGTATTTTTCGGCTAGACTACCGTAATCATTCAAACAGACAGATCTATTTTCTTAGCTCTTCTCAAGTGCTTTTTCCTCTCCTATCCACATTATGCCAAAGCCTCAAGGGTTTTTAAAAAATTCTGATTTGATCATGAAGTTAGATGGTTTCTGGCGTCATTTACTAAGCCATTCAGCTCACCAATCCAAGCAATAAACTTCAGACACATTTGATTCTCACCCGTCGATCCCCTAATTCAACCTTTAATGGAATGTCATCCCGAAGTCAAGCAAGGCCTCGAATGGACAATTTGTCCAAGGAACTCAAAGATTTCCAGTCGGTTTTAAAAGATCTGTATATTGTAAAGCAATTATTTCTAGATCTTCTCGTCCTCGTTGGTGGTACTTTGTCATCTCGAATTGTAAGCCGGCCAGTTGGCGGGGTTTATCCGTTTTTGCAGGTACTCGCTAGCCTGTTATATGACAAAATTTTAAATATCCTTCTTCCAGAATACAAAATCGAGATGAAGAATGGAGACAGCACCTTCTTGAAGCATTTCTCGGCCGATGAATACTGTGAGTGAAATAAAGTAAACAATGTAAATCGTTAGATTAAGATGTTTTACCCGTCGATACTGGTTTTCTTCTGCTCCGAATTGATTCTTTACATCTTATCAATCTTTCTTGCACGTATGTTTAGTTATCTTTGTCAAAGACTAAGTCAGGAAATTGACTTGAAAATCTTGAATCTAGATCTTCTCGTCCTCGTTGGTGGTACTTTGTCATCCCGAATTGTAAGCCGGCCAGTTGGCGGGGTTTAGTTATCTTTGTCAAATTCTAAGTCAGGAAATTGACTTGAAAATCTTGACGAGCGCTGACGAGCGCAAGAATCAGTGCTTCTTCAATGCATGAAAAAAGTATTTTTAAAAAATTGTAAAAGACTTATGCATCAAGCTAATATAAAAGGTTAGTAGGCTAGGCTAGAAGGGTTATAAACAAGGCTATGTCTTGGTAAAAGGTTAAGGAAAGTTTTTAGAAAGTTTGTCTGTCAAACGTCTGTCAAACAAAAATCCTGTTTTCAGGTGCTCTTAAAGCTTGCCATTTCCTGCATTCGACTTTCAAATTGTGTCGAGTCGCCATTCTCTTCGAGATCATCTCACTCTCGGTTCTTGTCTGGTCTTACTGTAAAGTGTTTTAAATGAAATTACCATATTTGGTATTTATCTTGAAAATCTCAGGTGGCTACGGTTGGCATGGAATCTGGATATTGCACTCGAAGAATACAGGCTATTATGTTAGGTTAATTTTCAAGATTTCTACTGTTTCCACGTACCGTTTCAGAGGTGTTCAACAATCGCTTTTCCTCCTTTTTCTCCTACTCGTTGCCAAGGGATACACAATTACTGAGTAGGTATTTTTATCGGAGAAGCTTACATTTTGAAAAGCAAGTACCTAATTTATAGTACTGGCCAATTAATTGGGATTCTGAGAAATGTTCGATAATGAGATGCTTTGAAAATTTTCAAAATCTAGAATTAAATGTGTAAGTTGTGATCTGTAGTGAAAAAGATCTCAAGGGAATTTGAAAGTAGCCCAATTTTATCTCTGTGTAAGTGCAAATAAATGAAATTGAGAAGAATTAGGATTAAAAAGCCTTAAAAAGCTCTACCCTGATCGACTTTGGCCTGGCTTGGACAAGTTAAAGGATACATTTATGATATCTTTACTCAGAAGATCAAACTATAGACTAATGTATAAATTTTGAATAGCAAAAGTGGTTCAGTCTGCTCACTAAAGTTAAAGAGGAAGCGAAGAAGATGTTTCTACTTTAATGAGCTTTTAAAATATTAGCTTATTATCAAGGTTAGTTTACTGCCGGGGATGAAGCGATGAAAATCGGCTTACTTACGATGAAAAGGGATGCTTTTAGATTTACACCTCGGTTTTTGGCCAAGACCTAGCACATCTTTGTTC